CAGGTAGTAACCTCTTGGTGGGAAGTCAGGATTCATTGGGCTATGATTGCGAAACACTCTTGCACCATGGACTGATCCTGTGGGAACCCAGTAAAAATATCAGTAAAAACACCTTCGTGACTGCACACGGCCTGAAACTTGATGGAATACTGATTTTAGCTGTTACGATAATCCTGTTTGGATTCCGCTGGAGGTATAATTCTAAGATGTGTTCTATCTGTTGCGCCAACTGCTCTGTCACAATGGAGGGTGTGCCCGAGATTCTGTCAAACTGTTCGTGCTGAGGTAATGTACAAAATTCTTGAGGCATGTCAATCTTCAGAAGTAGCCTCGTACATGCTCTCTTGACAACCCGGGAACACCAATACTTCAACTTCAGGTTGCCAGCCATTTTACTTGGGGACATGGATCAGTTTAACAAGTTTTACAAAAGCCCTGCGAGTCACATGGAAGTCTCTCCTCAGATCAATGTGATCATTGGAGTTGCTAAGAGGCAAGTGTCCCAACTTTGCAGTATGGCCGTCTAATCTGAAACAATTATGACATGAATGAGAAAACGAAAACCTTGCTCAGGATGTTGCTTGCAAATTAACCAATACAGAACATACTGTAACTGAATTGAGGTTGTAATAGTCTCATTATGTAGGGTTGCACGTGTACATTTAGACAATCTTTTACAATATCATCCTGTATGAACAGGCAAACGATCCTGTTACTATGAATGTGGTCAATCCTTGACCTACTGTTAATGGCTTTCTTCGTTAGATTTACAACGTTTGGTGAATTCCAAATGAAAAACATTACAAAACCACCAATAATAATGTTTGCCCTCTTTCTTCCCAGCTGCGTCAAAAACACCCCATAAGCACGAAGCAGAAAATGTCTCCATTGTCAGAATTATTCTAACGTAAGTTCAAGTGAAATTAGTGACGACAAAGCAGCTAGCTCTCTATATAGCTTGTGTAACAATACGGGCGATTCACAATAGTGCGCCACCAAGAGTTTCCAGTACATTGGCCAATCACAACGTGAAAAATTTGTCGACCCTTTCCAAACGCGCATTGGGTCTACAAATTTCGCGAATTGTGATTGGCCAACGCGTTGCAAACTCTTGATGGCGCACTATTGTGAAACGGCCGTATTGCACGCGTATTAGCAGACGACAAGCAGTTGAAGTTTTGCACTCACTACGCATGTGTATGACTCGACGATGCCCAAGCCAGACAGCAGTACAAACTTTAACGATTTGGTCGCCATTTTGAAGCCGGCCGGGACTCGGACCTCAGTCTTGCCTATAGGGGTGCAGTGTCAGTCCCAATTCAAGGAAAATGCTCCGCCAGGCGGAGGCGCACAAAAAGTACCCCCAGAGATTGTTTCGAAAAGAAGGGTCTGCTTGGGCCAAGAAATGGTGGGATTGTGTCAGTATGGCCCAGGATCATCTCTGTAGATTCAGGGGCACCCATCTGGGGGCGAAGCAGACAAAAATGTATACCCGGCAAGAAATGAGA